ATAATATATTTTGGTTTCACTCTGCTTCAGTCTTTAGAAATCTGTAATTCCTTACATGAAAGGTTCTGTAGAAACCTTCTTTCAAATGTATTTTCTTGTGCTATGGATGAAAATGCAATAATTGTATCATTGTATTGGAAAAAGATAATGAAAATACTTATATTTCAGTTTACCAGGTAATTAAAGGAAAGCTTTGGAAGAATGTTTTTGAAAACCTTTAACACATGACAGTTCTTACTACCCTGCTTTTCAGCGTTCTGGTTTTCTTTCTTGTTTTTTAAAGTTAAGTTTTTCCAAATATTTTTGGCGAGATTATTGGACAGCTAACTACATCACTTTGTCGGGAAATCGCAAATCATTTGAAACTTCTACACTTAACTTCATTCCATTACCTAATTAATTTTTAGTGCAATATTAAACATGAGTATTTGCAAGAAACGGTTAGCCACAGCCTTCGTGTGTTTGTGCTTTCTTCTTTACTTTGCTATTTTTGCCTTATTGCTTAACAACTTTATAGATATAGATATAGATATAGATATATCTTTTAATACGAGTAATGATAGTTCCTGCAGCCCTAGTCAGTATTTGCAATGCTCCTCATCCTCCCCTTATCTCTGATAAGGCAGTAAGCAGAAATATATGCAGAAGAGACTTTCATTCCAGCTCCAGGATGTGACACTTCCACATAAGGAGTGCGTTTTCTTAACTTAATCATACCATGTATTTATTTAGTGACTCCATATCAAGAAAAGTATTTAACTCATTCTAAATATCTCTGTGTATAACAAGGAGATATTATCTCAAAGATGTTTCAAGAGCTATTAGTAATAATACTACAGTAGCTCCTCTACATAAGAGTATTGATAGGTGATAGGTACCTGCTGTCTCTCCTGCAGGTGCATTGTCCTCTGTCCTTTTCAGTGCCCAAATGATGCGTGTCAGAAAAAGCTGCCCAAAGTATGATTGCCGCTCAGGTACTGTGTTAATTATGTTTATTACAGGACTGACTGAAGGTCAGAAGCAAATGACTGGTGTTTTGCTGGGCACTAAATAAACGTAAGCTCTTCAGGACAGTTGTCTGTTTAATCTAAATAGACAGGGTATGTATAGAGGGAGAAAAAAGTAAAGTTTGCAGTTCCCCTCTTCCTCACCCTAACTCTAATAAAATGGTAAGCAATACTATATATAGAGTACACTTTCATTAATCATGTTTCTATAGAGAAGAAACTAAAGGAGAAGTCCAGTTGAAATGGTAGAACTTTCAGATAAATGGGAAGTTATTACTTAGACCATGGTACCTGGCTTCGCTTCTCCTTTTCCTCTTTCTTTTCCTCCAAGTCCATTTGACAAAATTAGAAGAAAGTGAGACTTGATCCTAGTTTCTATAAATTGCGGGAAAAATTTAAGTTATCAGGTCTGATGGCCCTATAGCAGGATGGGTTTTCCTGATTGTCTCTGTGTAGCTCATTCTCGATTGATGCAACTGTAATCTGAATTAAAAGACAGAATACCTACAAAAAAGAGCTCATGGATGAAGATTGGCTTGTTGAAACTGAATCCAAGAAAGAGATAAGCACTGCTGCTCAGAAAGGTGTATTAGCTTAAAAAGAGAATTAAGATCCCCCCCCTTAAGGACACCTTGTCATCTGTGATTTGTAAATGCTGCAAAGTATGAGAATCACTTTCAGCTTGAATAGTCAGGTAACATCTGTATCTAAATGTCTCTTTACCTTTTAGCTTGCTAGTAAACTTTGTTCATCTCTTCCTCCCCCCACCCCTCCACCCGCATTTGTCGAGGAAGATCTTACTTCTGTTAGTTGTAACCTAAATTTCTGCATGTAAGTTATGGAAATCCAAATGAACGGAATGAAAAAACTTCAGGCAGTACAAGTTGCTATTGCCTGCCTTCCCTGGCTACTAATTCTAGTTTTAAGATCTCATTCTAGCTATTTAACAGATGGATCTCTGACCTAAAAGTCTATATGCCAATATATGGACCCTAGCATCAGGGATTTTTGCTTGTGGAAATAGCACTGAAACTGTTACTGAGTGAGCAGCTCTGGCTCAGCCAGAGTTTTGACAGTCTTCAGGTGAAATGGCAGGCTCTTTCTTCTTGAAAAGGCAAAATAAAATGACCCTTGCATCCAACAAACTTTTAGCAACTAAAATATAACCCTGTCACTAGGCAAGTGTGAGTTTTGGGGTTTTTCTTTATTTTTTCCCACTTGCAACTGAGGTGGTTGGAATTAATGCGGTATCTGATAAGGCCGCTGTTGGATTACTGATAAAAGGTTGAAAAGAGGAAAGTTCATCTCTGTTTAGTACACCAAACTTCTTGGTGGATTGAAAGTCATCTAAGTCTTTCTGTGAATTTTGTCAGTTCATAAAATAATAAGAATAGTACTTCCATATGTTATGCTGAGAGGGCAAATCTATTAGGCTGTGATACACCTAGATAATACAATGGTATGGAAAATACATGCACAAATTTTTATAGGGAGACTATTCTGATCCTTAGGGAAACCATAAGATAAATAAAAGCAGCAGCCTTCTGAAACTTTGTTTTCCTCTTATATTTTGTTAATGCTTCACTTTCAGGAAAAGACATTAGCAATATTCTGCTAAAGTTATATATAAACTCCTATAACCAACAGTAAGTGACTAGTCCAACTGTGATATTAAGATGTCAGAATTGCAGATGTTGTGTTGACATATCTGATCAATCAGCCTCTGAAATTATCCCAGAATAAAACAGTTTTTCCTGTGGTTTTTAGGAACAGCACGGTTTGTGTTTGGCCAGTTAACTTAGCACAGATTAGTGATTCAGTGTTACCTCCTACCTATTTTCCACATCAATGTTGTTCAAGTTATTTTGACAATCAGAGTTGGCACGTAAGTAAGAAGCAAGCACGTCAGCAGTCTGTCTGGTTGTGATAGGTGTCTTGAAGAACTTGAATGTGAGTTGGGAACTGATCAATCTGGGTTGCTAAGTGTTTTCTAAGTGCTAAGTTGCTTTCAGCATTGGTGCTAATGATGTACCCGCATCAGTTAGGCAACTCGGGCTTAGGGACTGGCTTGGC